CGAAACCGTTTCAATGTATTTGAATAAGTTGAAATACCCCTTTGCAATATACAGCTCTTCCATTGTAATCAGAATTTGACCAACACCTTTACGAAAATAGCAACTGTTGAACTCGGTATCTTTGGATAAGATCGAATAGCATGATTTTTCAGTATTGTGCCATTCATGACATATATACCTCATTTGTCCAGAAGTATAGGTTTTATATTGATCTCTATTCATGGCTCGCGGATCGTAGATCTTAGCAACTACAACTTCGCTGTCATCGACCAGTTCTAGTAACGACTTCTTGAAGTATAGAGACTCTAGTCTAATCAACTGTGTGTTGGAATCATCTCTATCCTGTACGTATGGGTTATTGCTATTCCTAGGTATATCAATAGATATCTCATCCTCCATGCCTTCTCTCCCTTCTCCCGTACCTTCAGGAATAGAATTCAACGTGGACACGTTAGTACCTCTTGTACTGGGTCTACTTCCAGAGCCCTCAGACTGACCTAACGTGGTCACATCTGTATCTCTTGTACTGGGCCGACTTCCAGAGCCTTCAGACTGATCATCGCTGTCATCACTAGAAACACCTTTAATCAATGTCTTTCCTGATACCTTTAGATGCTTTTCCAACCTTTGAATCCTTTCTTGTTTGATTACCATTTCCGAATCTTCTTCTACCGAATTATAAATGTACGACAATAGCGATTCTCGTAACGTAGGTTTAGCTGAATGGCAGTCTCGAATCATGTACCTGATTGGAATTATCTTTGGCTCATTGTCAGTTTTCACATCTCTCAGATTGTGGACATTGCGTTCAAATGAGTCAAGGTCTAGTTCCACGAATACAGATGTATATGAATCTGTGAGAATCCCCCTGTCAGTCTTGAAATAAAGCATCTCGCATATGAGCTGCTTCGTTATTTGTTTCTGGTCTGAAAAGAGGCTCCTTATACCGTCCAATGGATGGCCATTATATTCGAGCAATAATGGAAATTTCTTAGTCTCTATAACACAGTAAACTAGGTTCCCTTTACTAATAACTATGTCAGTTCGAGTCAGTAATCGCATTCCAACAGGTACCGCTCGTCTCCATGCTGCTGGTCGTTCAGTTTCAACTTTCATCACGATATTTAAAGCATCGTCCAACATTGAGCATATTGGCCTAACCAAATACCTGACAAACGCATCTTTATAAGAACCTTCCAAAGTTCCTTCTCGAGGAATTAATTCGTATCTAAGGAATGCAAATCCTGTAAGAGCGTCTGCTAAATCTTGATTCTCAATTCGACGGATGATTTGCCGTATCGAATCAGGTACTTCGTCCTTCAATTCNTTTAAGTAGCTGTCATCACATGTGAAGTCAGGAAATTGCTTACTATAATTATTTGTGCTTCCTTTGTTGTTACTGCTTGACGTTCCTCCCGTATTGTCTATTTCATATTCACACATCGGAAGAGACAAAATAAGCCTAAATAAGCTTTTAATTTGTAATAGGTAGCCCCCGCTAAAGTATGTTAAAAAATCCAGACATAAAGTCGGAATTCTTCTAATATAACGTGCTACCTCATTTCCTTCTACTCCAAACAACTCCTGAATTAGAATTCGATAATTCACTGTCATCACTCCCCAACCTGGATAAAAATCATGATAATCGTACATCTCTAATTCATCCCCAATACATTTACACATTGCAAGATACAATGGATGCTGTAAAACCAGATCACTGGGATATTCTGCCATAGCTACTTCATTGTGAATAAACCATTTGTCCTACTTAGTCTTCCATTTCATATTCCTCTCATTCTCTTCTACTAAATCTAAATGTTATGCTAAATATATGCACGTCTAATATGGTGGTTGCGCGGCAGATTCTCTTTCAGGAGATCCACTTAAAATGAGACCACTCTCATCAAGTCAAAATATGGAAACCTATGATTTTTGAAGATATCCATTGAATATTTCCCTTGTTAATGATATGAACGAGAAGTACGACTGAATTGCAAAGCTAAACATAAATTATATATACACCCCAGAATATCTCTTTCAGATTAACTTGAGATTAACTTCAGATAATGATTCTATTAATGCATGAAGGTAAAATACTATATCATGCTCGATTAATTACCGCCTATAATCAAATATTCGGTTGATTTATTGAACCCTGGAATAGAATACCCAGTTAGGTTGGCGTCTAAAACATTTGACCCAATGGTACTTCCATACACCAGCGTCGTGTCCTCTGTCATGAAACCGCGTATCGCATATTCCTTCCTGACACGTCATCGGGTTCGAACCGCCCATCCCCTATTCGACTCCCTTCCCAACATAGCAACAACAACTATATAAATAATAATAATAGTAATACAATAGCTTTCGCGCCGACAATGCCGCCATTACCCGGTCGTGTAAAATGATTACATAATAATATGATACGCATCAGGTTTTTCGACAACTTATAGTTGCCACCCTTGCCAATACAGAACAACCCTCCTTATCTTGAAAACTATACTAGTTCTTTCTCAGTTAATATTCTTATATATCCGTTAAGAATATACAAGTAGGTTCTATACGTAATACAATTGTTGGTATCCTTCATTGGCATTTACCAGGTATATTATCGAAAGTTTTTAAAACAGCAACTAGCATAAATTTTCACGGAGTCTGTGAAGTTAGCGCCCAAACCGGACCTGTACAAGAATAGTTGAAAAATCGAATTGAATATGGCAGCTAGTTTGGCGGAAGTGAAGGTTAATAAGAGAACGATCGGGGAGTTGGAGGACATAACCAATAACGACGGGTACCACAATAACAAGAAGATGAAGATGAACATGAATTTCAAAAACATGTATTTCAAGAGTGAGGGCGAAGAAAGGAAGCGTCCGCAACAACAGAGGTCACCATCGCCATCGGACTTGTCGTCTTCATCCCCCACGAAGCTGCGGGCGAAATCGGTGACATTTGAGTTGTCTCAGAACAAGCAGTATGAGAACTCGCCGCTCTTGACGCCGAAGGACGATGACGACGACTACAACGACGACGACGATGTGGATGGGGCTGTGGACGTGGCCGAGAGTAAGGCCGAAAACGAGGTCCAAAGCGATGCTCCAGGGGCCCAGTTGGGTACCAACTGCGATTATCTTGCGTTGACATCATCGTTGCGCTTATTGAACACCAACAAGAGCAAGATCGAAAAGGAAATTTTGGACTTGTCGCAGATGTTGGATTTCCACGCCAAAAACTCCGATAAAGGAGAAATCATTGACTTTTTCTCGAAGTTGGTTGATAACAAATTGAACTTGCCCCAGCAAAATAAGATCTTGAGGTGCCCATTGATGGACTGGTCCAAGTACCACAATGGCTTAACCAACGTGAGTAAGGAGAGTTTCGAAGCCTGTGCGAACGAAAAACTGATGTTCAGAACTCTCAATTTGTTTAATTCAAAATAATTTATTTTCCGTCTAAGGAGAGAAAAGATATAGAATTGATTTTTGTTATTTTGTTATGAATGTTTGTCTTGTTTGTTTTACTGCTTATGAATTGTTTGTTTATGGATATTGTTTGATGTCATTGGATATCATGGATGTTTTTTTGGATGTTGCTATTTGATGTATTTGCAGCCACACTCTGGTTTCATTTCATTTGGTCGCTGCACTTTACGTAGCTTCTTTTTTAAATAATGCTTTTGATTTTACGTTGAAATTTGGTTTGGTCAGTTAATGTTGGTTTGTTTTGTTTATTGCTTGTTGTTTGCCGTTTGTCGTTTGTTGGTTGGTTTTTTTCTGTTGTTTGATTTATTTTCACTCATTTTATTCCCAAAGCACTGCCTTTTTATTTCGTCTATCAAAATTATCAGTTTATGTATTTCTTTTCTATTACCCTATGTATATAGTTCAATTCAAAAATTACAATAAAAAATATGGCTAACTCGCTTTTAAATGTCTTTCTTTATCGCACCCTAATGGTCTTATACTTACTACATTTGGCCTTTATTTAAAATCGTGTGTATTTGTATTTGTTCCATACATTGCATTGCCTACCCCTTCAGGACGATTGCTTTATCTTCTTCGTATCAGGATGAAAATGAGGTAATCATTTCTGATCGGATTTTTCTTGTAACTCTTTATTTTATATCAATTGTAATTAGATAACTCAATTAAATTTGAGTCAGGTCACGGATATACAATGAAGTGATACTTCCAATAGCACCTGTCCTTTTAACAGGACCCTCTATTATTGTAACATCGTTCTTTTTCAAATGACGTGCAACCTCTTCAATCAGTGTGCTCGCCACAAAACAGAGATCTGCAGAACCAGGAACTGGATAGCATGCTTTTGGTTCAAATTCATGGCCATGTTCATGTAGGTTGATTTTTTGGTTTCCAAATCGAAGTGCCTTACGATTGTCTTTGAACAGTTCTACCTGCATACCAAGGACACATGTATAGAACCTAATTGATTCTTCGATATTCCTAACAGTGAGTACCAAATGATCCAAAGATTCGATGTTCATCTTACTGCTGTGTTTCTCCGTGGAATTAATTCAATTCTGTGCAATTGAAAATCTCACATTTGTAGTCATTTCGAGAAAGTATCGAAACACAGTTTAAACAATATAATATTACCAAAGGCAAATTGGAGAATTTTAAACTAACTTATATAGATATAATTATACTTATCTTGAGAACACTCATCTCTTACATTAGGACATGCCACTGACATAGAACCTTATTTTTAAAGAAGTCCTCAAGGCGCAATTCAAACACTAACCAATCGTTAGTCACTTGTAAATGTAACCTGTTATATTAATCGCACCTAAATAGCCTAAAGGTCAAGATTGTATTTGAAAATGTGAATTATAACTATTTAGTTACATTACATACTTATCCTTCACGATGATTGCTTTGTCTTCTTCGTATCATAAGCTGCCACGCCAGTATCTTCATCCTCGCTATCAGTAACTAAAAATGCATCTGAGTTGACCGGCACATCTGAGTTCAAAGATTGCCACTTCTTATTCGAGTCCATGTAACTATCAGACTGAGCTGATTTTTCCTTATTTGCTTGATCCCCTTGACGTTTAGGTAATGATGGAGCATCTTGCTCTTCTTCATCGTTGTCCTTCAAGTTAATTTGGCTATGTAAATCATTCGAGATAATACGTGGATCTTCATCAAACGTATTCTTCTTGTTCTGTTTTGTAAACGACGATCCACCTAATGCACCAAAAAGTTTAGGATTTTGCGATTGCGATTCCTTCGATTGTATGGCGTCATCTGTTGGTTCCTGGAACTTTTTAGCTATACCACTGACCCAGCCATTTAATGTGGTTCTAGCTTCTTCAAATCCTTGGGAAAAGCTCTCTTTAATTTGGCCAAATTCGTCGACACTGTCGTCCTCTAAGTCTTCTGGTTGTGATTGTTGACGTCTTCTTCTTCTTTCGCGGTCGTGATGCTGAGCCCTCCTTCTCCTGTCCTCAAGTTCGAATTCTTTCTGCAACTTTCTCGCTAATAATTCATCATCGGTCAAGGTATTCTTTTGCATGTTCACTTGCTTACTTGGCACTGGTGGCGCCGGTTCTGGGATTTCCGCTTCAACAGAAGGATCAGAGATATATAATAACGCATTGAATGCAGGGTCAGGATTACCTTGAGACGCAATTAAAACTGCAGTAATAAGTTTCTCTTCAACGTTCGGGAATGCGTCCTTCAAATCCTGCTTTATTTGTGATAAAGGTGAAACGGGCCTTGGAGGTGGCGCTGGCGCTTCTTCCTCTGCATCAGTTCCCTTACTATCACCCTTGTCACCCTGCTTCCCATCAGTCTTTGCACCCGCACCTTCCTTTTGATCAACAGCATCTTTATCAACAGCATCTTCCTTCTTATCAACAGCACTTGCTACAGTATCCTCTTTATCAGTGGCGTTGGCCTCATTGTTTTTATCAACAACCGTGGTGCTTTCCTGTTTCTTATCGGCCACATCAGTCACATCCTTACTTTTTTCTTCAATATCCGACGATTTGGTCACATTAGCATTCGTTTCGTCGCTTTCTTTTTTATCTGCTTCAGCCTTGACTCCAGTCTCAATTCCTTCTGAATCTTCCGAATTTTTATCAGTTTCTTCAATTGAATCAATTGGTTCTGAAGAGACAACATTTAATGTATCTCCCGTCGATTTATTGTTCTTCTTTGTCATATTGTTAAATGATATATGTAAAGCAATTATATACTTCATTAGCTCCTTCTTAAGCTAGCCTTAATAGTAGATATAACTGTAATATGATTTACTGTGGCCGCGCGTAATACTCAGTACTAAATATCATCACTATATAATGGTCCCATAGACCCATAAAATTTTCAAGTTTTAGTTTTCTTTCTTTGATAGTATTTATAATTAACTCCGAAGATTAGCTAGAGCTTTATATTACTTTCTTCAATTAGTATAAAGTGTGGACAGCGGAGACATAACAAGACAATAGTCGGTACTTATAATTCAAATCTAGCCTTTCCGGGTTAGAGTATTTACGTACTTAAAGCAAGGCTTTGGGTATATAAATTATAGGTTCTACAATTGAATAATGTAGTGTTGTTAGATATATAACACATCCCAATGTAAAAACGTAGTTAGTCATGAACATTATTCATCTCGTAGTGCTAGTTCTAATAATTTTATTATGAATGAATATCTAAGATATACTATAAACAAAAAGGTGATTAAGATGGTGACTTTATAGTTCATAAAGATAAAACAAATAGCGAAATGATACAGCTTATGTATGCTTCTCGATATGAATTTATGTATATTGTAGCCGGAGGCTAGTTTGGTGAGATTAATGGCATAATAATGATCTTAATTTTTTCAATAACGAACATACTGTCCTGACAAGTCCATGCAATTACTATCGGTTTCCATTAATGAATGCGTGCTTATTGTAATTCTGATCTTCTCTTTTCCTTTGCTTGTTCTAATTCCTTTTGTCTTCTTATGAAATCCAAGTTTTCACATTCTTCCCAAGCATGTTTATCGTGCTTACAGTCAACGGACGAGTTGGCAGATTGTCTCTTAAGACATATGTGGTAAAGAGCAAAGTTAGCAGCACATCTGTCTCTCCAGCGCAATGGAACCTTATACTTTTGTAAATCTTCTTCAGAAACTATTATGATGTTAATATAATGTCGAAAAATAATAAAACAACCCAAAACAAGAAAACCTAGTCCTGTATTTTGGGTAAATATCTTCTCTATACATACGAAGTGGTGGGAATTCAGTAACTGTCATATTACTTATAGATCGCTTAATATTAAAGACTGTAAGTTGTACCAGTGAATTTTTTATGGTAAGTAAATTTTATTCATCCTTATAGGCCAGTCGATAAGTTACACAAAATCCGCCAAAGCAGATCTTGACGTTATACACGATATATAAGGCTACATCTTTACTTTAACTATCCAGTACTTGACTTAAATTATGTATATTATAGACTATGTAGTTCATTGTAGGCTTGTGTGATCAAATTGTTTAAAAAAAATGTTTGTAAAAATATGGCAAAATATAAATATGGTAGGGGAAACTAACAACCACAATACAAAATGAACGTACCGTATTAGATCGCATATGAAAGCACTCTATACTGGAGGTTATAATCCAATTGAATACACCTACTTGATCGTATGGATATTCAGGGAAAGCACCATTACCAATACGTATATTCAGCATTGAGTATGGTAAAATTTTTAAAAAAAAAACCAATCAAAATACATGTGCCATACAATTGAAATGGGTCACAGCCTAAAATAACTTTAAAATGAATCTATCCTAATCATGATAGTAAAAAATAACGGTCCTATATTCCGACATGCAACCTCAAATTATAAACATACTAATCGCCTCTCTTTCGCTATTTCTTTGTACTTTCTCCTTTTCTCGATCTCTCTTATATTCATCACCTCTCGATATGTCGTATGCAATCTCCAACGTCTTATTTATGACCGTCGAGTCTCTCTTTTAATGATAAGTATTGGCACTTATAGAATTCGTCCTTTGGCTTATTACAGAATGATGTACCCTTATCAAGGCACTTATAATAGTTAATTAAATGGGCAGCACAGTGGTCTCTGTGAAGGAATGGTACGTCGTGATCATCTAATTCTTTTGCGGATGCTATAATCGTTAGTAGGGTTCTTCAAGCATTCAAAGGCCATTTAAAAGGTCCTTTAAACGACAATTATTCCACGTTGTCAGTAAATATCTTATGAAAAAACATACGAATTGGAGGGTATTCATATTTTTCGGCGGCAGTCATCTTGTCTGTTGCTTCTATGCGTGGTTTGACGGATTGTAGATTAGTTTTATATGCTTTATCTCTTGAATAGTAAATTGGGATGATTTTATTGGCGATCGAACGGAAAAAAATCACCGCTTATATAAGCGATTCTTTTACCAAAAAGAGAAGCATTTCGCAAAAAAAATTAGAATTCTGCCGGTCCCAGGAATCGAACTTGGGTTTCATCGGCCACAACGATGTGTACTGACCACTATACTAGACCGGCGAATTTCTAGAGGCCCAGCTTATTGAGGGCTTTTAATATTATAATCATTTTTTTGTTATACTCTACTTTGATGTATGTGAAAGTATGGAACATCATAATTACTCTTTATAAGACACTCATGATGCATGACGTTTTTTGTGGAACCGTTTAGACTAATGCGCAAGGATTAAGATCTCCTGATGTGGTATGTATGCCTACATTTCCTAACATTCTCGCCAGGCCGATTAAAACATTCTAGGTTCTTTTCTCTCCGTTTTACTAGACAGAGATGTTTGCGAGCTGTTACTAGGATTTCGTGATGTAATGCTTTCTAATTCTTTGTTTCTGACGGTATTGATAATTTTCGATGTCAAAATGGATCATATTATTGTAAGAGATGGTACTTTACTCATCGAGATGCATATATGCTAACTAGTTCATCATCAATTGAGCTAGTTTGGATGATAATCTACCATTAATTTTGCTTTATGGGTAATGACCTGCTATTACCGTTAATCAAACATAGAGCAATCAGTAGCTTCGGGTCTTGTTTTAGGTGATGTTTGTGTATTGCTCCAATCTTTCATACAACTTTTTGAAGCATTTAATATTGGTACGATATTCTTCGAAATCTGGCTTTAGCAAGATTTTGCTCTGTTCGATGTTTTATCGCCTTTAGTTTATCAGCGAGGTCTTGAGCCGAATTAGTGTAGAATTAAGTTGAAGAAGACAAAATCGGATTAGGACTTGATGAGTTGGGTTGAAACCCTTTAAAGCCCTATAAATAGGAATGAGAAATAAAAAAAAAATTAGATATTGGAAAAAGAAAACAAGCAGTATAATATAGAATAAACCAAGTTTAGAGTTTATGGTTAGTGTTCTCCAGCTGTTGGTCGATAGAATAATACAATTGGGTAACGCTCCAATTACTGTTAAACTATCATCATAGTAGTATTTGCATTGTTAACTAGTAATCGTGTAGAGAAAGAGGTCAATTGAAGGTATAAGTAAATATTATCACATAAAAGCCTAGAGAGACGAAAGAGACGAGAAGGAAGCAAACAAAAACGAAACGATATAGAATAAAATAATTTGCAAATAAATAAATACATCAGCGTCAACTACCATCTGATGAAATAGTGAGGACTTATTATACATTATTGTATCTACTGAACTTTCACTCTCGTAAGGTCTGAATCGTCATTACTACCACTCCTATTCATAGATAAATATCTGAAATGCATGAATCATCATTACCTTTTTTATGTCAATTGTAAGGAACCGCTAAGAATATCACACACGGATTAAGATCTCGCGATTGAGTATTTCCTAGCAGGTGAAACATTTTTCCCTACCATAATAGTTCTAGCAAAAGCCGTTGGCCATAGAATCGTCACCGGTGCCTGGACTAATGGACTAATCCACCAGCGACTCAATTGACACTTGTAATGCATGCGGTATACGTGTAAGTTGTTATATTATACTACTTTACCGTACATGCTCCACGCTCAGTAAAATATTACCATTGCAACCATGAAGTACCTCGGTGATTACTTGAGATTCCGCGGAACCGCAATGTCAGGCGCAACTAACCGTGAAGGTGCGTACGTGATTTTAAATTACGACGACATGGCTTCATCCAATCTGAACGCCATAATCACACCACTATTCTCAGCATCGTGCAGAATCCGCATAGACCCGTGCATGCGGTTTAATTGTGTGGCAAGATGCGCATTATAATTTCACAATCGGACGGGTATGCCACCGGCTAATACTTTATACAAAGGTCTATTTCAGATGATCAGGCTTGCATGGGAGGGGTTGGGTCTGGAGTTGTACTGGGCGAATGGTTCGTAAATTATCGACGTCACCGTGCCACTCAGCAGCAGCGTCAAGGGGACATCTATCTGTACGGGTTTCATGTGGCTACCAACCATGAGGAAGGTATTCAAGGTATTCTACAAGGAGGTATATGCATGTGGAAATCGAAGCAAGTCCCATATCTTGGAAGAAGCCTCGATTTTGCACCCTTTGTACCGGCACATACTTTTTGTCCCGCACCATCAAAGAATCCGATTACGAACTTGCTCTAGACCCCATGAAAACGATAACTACATGGGAGAAAAATCCTTATTGTAAATGCCCATACTCGGTAGTTTGAATGTCACAAGGCCCAGGTGGCCGATTGCTTAGCTCCTATCTCCGGTCCGCCTATCTGCCAATGCGTATTCTAACTACTCTGTACCACCTCCAGCATTGACACTCAAAACATCGTACCGCGCTCGTCTAACTCTAATGATCCTTTTCAGACGTTGCAATGTTCTTACTCCCTACTTGCATGTTATGTTGGAGACGTAGGGAACATAAGGGAAAGCTGTTTAAGCACCGTGCAGTTCTAGTGTATTCTACGCAGATGCGTGCGCATTGATGCCTCGAATGGAAGGTTATTGCGCAAATCTGAGGATAAGTAGATACTCTTATGACACAAATTAGCCATTCCGCGTTGCGGCTTACACACGGGTTTATCATCACAAGATGGTGATAATGTGCCGTAGGCCCTATAAGGCCAGGAAACTTCGTCTCTAGCATGCTGTTTTCATGGAAACTAGCATTCCATTTTGCATTTCCTATAATTCGACTCAGTCTTCAAAAGGTCCAAATCTTGGGCCAGAACCGGGTCGGAAGTTTCTTTTCCCCGAACCGAATCATCACTTACATACTAAGGTTGAGTTTGCTAACTACATAACAAAACAATTCTTAAGCGAAATATATTATTCGAGCAAGCTAGATACGCGCATTGCATCTGTAATGCATATGTATAACGCGCCTTTGGATCTTCCTACATATTTACTGGGTCAGCAGAAAATTTTCTATTTTCGTCAACCGAATGCCTTCCATAAAGTATTACGCCTATCAAGAGGCAATTAATGTTTGCCGATGTCTTAATGTAGGTGGCACGCATGATTATATTGATGGACCTACGAATAGGAGGGGCTGGTTCTTGATATGAAATTGCGCACAGGGCTAAAGGGTATGAGAGAAATTCAAATGGTTTGTTAACCAAATGACCTGGCGTTTCGAGCAATCATATACTAGAGCAAGCCGAAAGGTTGAAATGCAAGCGGCCACCTCGATTCAGGCCAGGGAAAAATAAAGTTTACATGGAGGTTGGGAATATGGGGCATGGAATAGAACATTTATGGTAGTGCAGGTGGTCGCCGCAAAGGCACTCGATTAAGCGGGAGGGCTTGGGCGTATGGCCAAGTATTTTTAGCATGGATCTTTATTTATATCTTCAGGACGGCATATTATGAAGTATATCGTATGTCAGCGCCCACTTAAGATTTCATGCAACAATAAGTTTAATCAAGCGACTAGATTCTGCGCTTTAAAGGAATAATTGGGACGATTTCAAATTCTAATGCATAATTTTCTGTAAACAATCTAGCGGATTTTCCTGTAATATTTTGCAGGGTGATAGAGGTATTTAAGCCGACAAAATTCCATGTCGAAATTTGTAGATTTACAAACTTGCCAAATGAACGTTAGGTTATAATTAGGAGATTTTATTTAATTACGTCGGTTGTATTTCTCAGAATCGCTCTCATCAGTATTATTTTCACTTTCTAAACAATTTCTTGTACCAAATAGCCTATATGGGTTCATTTGATACCAATTCAAGTGCAAGGCCTTGTATCGGCACGAGTGGTGGAGAACCTCCAAGAAACAATGTCAAGTTACCGTCGATTCATGAATTAACCTCAAACTCGTCTATACATGGTCATGGGCATTCATCGATATCTCCGAGAGTGTCACACGGGAGAATGCATCAAGGCATGGGAAATGATAGTCTTGATAGATACAGGTATCCCATAAACCCTCCAACCCCAGGGTATTATACTGGAAGTGAAAGCAGGGGATCTATTGGACCTAGTCCCATAGAAACACATATCAATCCAATAAATAAAATATTGCCCACGCCTGCCACTTCATACTACGACAAACCACCGCAGACTCAATACCAATACTATCCATCACCTCCAGCATTATCATACCCTCATCCTATAGGATATCCACCACAACAGGCAGTATATTATCCCCAATATGTTCCTCAAGCACCGACAGTTTCTCGTAGCAATCCGTTCGTTGCACCCGAGATTATAAACAAGACCAATAACGTATGCCAGAGATGTGGTACTACTGAAACCCCTGAATGGCGACGGGGTCCCGGTGGTGTGAAGACATTGTGCAATGCGTGTGGTTTATTTCATGCAAAATTAGTTAAAAGGAAAGGTGCTGCGTTGGCCGCGGAAGAAGTTTTAAACAACAAAGTCTGCAAAGGCAAGAACGGTAGAAGAATATCGATCAAAAAGAATTCTATCGATAATGATCGTTTAAAAAGTGGGATTTTTCCGTCTACAGCTGCTCCTACTAATACTACTAAAAATACCACCAAACATGCTGGTCAGCTCCAAGCACCAGCTACATCTCTGGTTTCTCCAGCTTTAACTCATCATTAATTTAATTCTACTTTACATTATTATATTTATTATTACATGAACATAGCATAATTGTCCAGTGAGGCATATTTTAAAAGTTAATAATACTCTCTTCATTCTTAAAGTAATGATTATTAATAAATTTTAAATTTTAGGTTCGAAATACCTCATTTGACGTAGTGTAGAAATGGCCGATATTGGCCACATTGAGTTAATAAAAGGCCAATTTCGAAAGTATTAGGAATTTAGGAGGATCTCTACAGGGGACTGGCTAAGAATAATAATAATCAGTAGTACAAGATTATTGTCTCATACTCTTGAGGCGTAGCAATGTAAGTTTATATTTCTGGATTCTATCACATATAGAATAAAAGAGGCAATTTTTTATCCTATTTATCTAATATCAATTTCCCTGGTGAAATCTTGTCTACAAAACGGAATTTTCACGTAATGCAAATCTAATTGATTCTAAAACATCATCATGAACACCACCAGAGGGTTTTGCAACAATTGTATCCCAATCTGCATCCTTATAAACACCCGTTCTCAATAACAATGATTCCCAGCCATTATCATTGGCACCTAGGATATCTGATGCAGGGTTATCACCAATCATGTAAATTTTTCTAAATGGTGAATTTGTAGGTTTTTCATTCAACTTAGGTAAGAGTTGATTCAATTCATTAGTCTTATTTTCAGCTATTTTCTTATTCCAATCAATTAAAACATTATGAGCAAAATCGTACTGTATCGGGAATGGCTTACCCAAAATTTCTGATTCCAATTTCTCGTTTTCCTTCAAGCCATTCACCTCTTTATATAATGCTTCAATCATAATCCTTAAAGCACCCTGTCCAAATCTTGGAAGCTTATAGTCATTTGCCCATAGAAAGTCATTATTGCTAAAGACGATTGGAACAGAAGGTTTTTGCTTATCCTTGATACTGGTAATGGACCGCTTTGTTCCAATTACCCCATTTTCTGAATTTAATAAATCAAGGATTATTTGCGTATCTGTCCCCATATCTCTAGCATCATTGAACACCAAAACTGCACTCACAGGCTTTTCTATATTGAGCTTTCCCGGACTCAAGGCATATTTAAATTCCTCTGCCGTAATCCTATGATGAGCTGATACAGAAGGATCAGCATTCACGATGTCAACAGGCATAATCACATCTTTAAAGCCGTATTCATTCGCGCACTCCCTGACATTATCCTTATCTCCTCCTACAACCAATACTCTGTCGAATTGATTATTATGCGCAAATGCTTTCATTGGTGTATGACTTTGAACTATTTGCAAGGGAGAAATCGGGACTCCGATTGCAGATGATAAGAAACTAGCTCTTGCTGACTCTGTAACACCTCCACCATTAGTTAATAATATAAATGGGACCTTATGTTCATTTAATAGTTCTAATGCCGGCTTGGCTGTTGGCAATGCCTTTGACCCCCGGAGTAATACTCCATCTATATCGAAAACAAAAGCAATATCTGAACCTTGTGAAAATCTTCGAGTAGTACGGTGTAAATAACGACCTAACGGCCTGACAGCATTAATTGGGTGTCTAGCTAATAACATTCTTAATCTATTAAGCTTGAAGTATGGGGTTTCCGATCTAACCAGTATGATAATAACTACCCGTATACATTTAATCATGTGACTAATTATGATTTATATGGAGTAATTAATATGATTTTACGGAGCTACAATTTCCCTACGTTTTCTCTTGAAATGACATTTATTAGTTCAGGTAGCTTCTTTGATATATGGGTAATGTACTAGAGAGATAAAAAAAAAATTGGCCGTGGTCAGTTTCTCATTCGCTACTTCTGTAGACTTCTCTGCTGAGATACAACGAGATCGATCCAGATCTGGCTTATCATCCAGTTAGGTCAAATTACATTCCATATGTCTTGAAATTTCGGGCAGTGGAAAGTGGACTGAATTCCCCGACCTCCATAATTGGGCAAATTGAGTTTATACGATTTCGCAACTTCCTCTAGATATTTAAGGTATAGGGTATGATGCATCAAGAAGCAAACACTTAAAGATCTGAGAGATACTTACTGGATAACGTTTGGAAGTCTGATTGGCAATGTGTTTGCAATTTTGTTAGGCTATGAAAGTGTATTAAATACAATGATTTTGTCAAAACATTAGTCGTTTATTAGATGATTCGTGAATCGTTGGTACCAATCGATGGTACCAATTATAAAATAATAAATACTGTCTATTATGCTGTTTGTTATAAAGATAATGCTTGTTGTTGCAGAACTTGCAGCTTATCCTTTCCTATAGATCCAGCCAATTGGAGAAATGGTTCTAAAAGTGGATTACTAGCAGATGCACACCCTTCTTCGATAACCCATTTTTCATCCGTATTAGGTTTAGCTATGACTTCACAGGCATAGCCAGTAACAAGTAATCCTGGGGGTCTTGATCCGCACGCTTCGGCTGCTTGAGCCACGTTACTTAACGTTGTTCTGACAATACGCTGATCGGGACACGAGGCTCTCTCGATAATTGCAGCTGGTAAGTTAGGATCCCAATTTTTATCATCGATCAACTTTGGAATTAAATCAACAACTCTATGCAATGCCATCAAAAACACGGTTGTTCTGGATTTGATGAATTCTGGAAGGTTTGGTAAAGTACCACGACGGCCCGTACCGGTACATATCAATACTTGATCGGCTACATCACGGTGTGTAGCTGGTATATTTGTCAATACTGGTGCTGCCAATGCAGAGGTGATTCCTGGTAAAACTAGTGGTGTAAATCCATGTTCAGCAAAGAAGTTGAACTCTTCACCACCACGACCGAAAATATATGGATCACCTTGTTTCAATCTGACAACTTTTTCATTTTTCATTAAGCTTTCAAGTCCCATATCTAATAACTCCTTTTGAGCCCTCTCGGCGTTTCCTGGAAATTTACGGGCGATAAATAATTTGGTTCTATGTTTAGGTATAAGATCGAGCACCTGTTGAGGTACCAATTTATCAGCAAGAATTAAATCTGCAGAATGAATTTCCTGTAACGCTCCGAGCGTTAAAAGCGATATTGACCCTGGCCCTGATCCAACTAATGATATAGATCCTTTCTTGCCGGTCTTTAACTTTTTGTGGGTTGGTTCCTTTGGCTCTGTCTCGGTTTTCACTATCGAATTGTATTCCTTATATGCCACACTCAAATCTTCCAACGATAAGTCTGCTAACGTAGTCAAGGGGAAATATTCAACGATCTGTGAAAGCCATCTCGTCCTTTGCAACTTTCTCTGCTCTCTAGTCATATTAAATTCCTCAACCAAAGAGTTCAACTTGCTGGTGGTTATCGCATCATCATCGTGCTCACCAATCGAATCAATATCACTCTGCATTCTTTCTAGCTCCAATTTGTCTTCTTCTTGTATCCTTGTTCTCAATTCCCCTATTTTATTACAGATGCTTCCAATATTACCTGGTAACGTATGGCTCAACTCTCTCTTGATTCTAGCAGCTAATTTACATCCTTTTCCCAGAGTGCTCACTCCCATTTGGAAGTCCCCAGATGTAAATGTAGATAATAACGAAAACGTACAAAATTCCGGAGAATCTGAAACATTTACTGGGATCCTTAATTTACGACATGATTGGTAAATCTCTTTCTTAGCTTCGTACTGCGAGATAGGCAAAGTCACAAATACCCTATCCACAATGTTATCAACCTCACTTCTTCCTAAACTCGAGAGATCTCCACTTTCATACTCCTTCTCCATATGCTTCAAATTCCCTTTAGTTATGTTGTCCTGTATTGATTTTGGAAATTTTTCAGATGCTTGGTTCGATATAAGTACCGGTTTAGCACCCGCTTCAAGTATCGAGTTTATTCTTAAAGACGCCACATTAGAAGCTCCAATGATTAAGTGGACCTCGTCTGTGCACTTGAGTGACGCTAATAGGTTAGTCATAGTGAATAAATCTTAAGATCTATCTGTCAAAAAATTGCAACTTCTTAACCATATATAATGAAGCATTTATCCATTACCCAATATCACGTGCTTTTGGCTACAAATAAATTTAATGATGAGATAATTAAGTACCTGCAGTACCAATAAATTTTTTGATATTAGACATAAAGGTTAAAACCAGGACATAATATTGCAACCAAAGAAGACATTGACTCGGAAATGGCGCCAAAAAGACATTTAGGATTAGGTAAAGCTGCAAAGTCCAAGAAGCAAAAGAAAGATGATTCGTCAGAGGTAGAAAACCCGGTGCAACAGAGCAATGAGCTTACGGTTGAATTGAATGAAGAAGCGGATGCAAATGACGAAGTGAGTCAATTAAGAGCATTATGGAAAACGCATGCTAAATCGAACAAGGACAATGAGTTGGTGGTGAACGGGATAATCCATGAGTGTGATCGGTTATTGAGGAATTCAAACTTGGCCGAAATTAAGGACGGTGAGGACGAAAATAAGGCCAGCACAAACGAGGATGGGCCTAAAGAGTTACCGGCCGATTTCCATTCAATCTATGCGTTGGCGTTGGCAGACTTAGCGTTGTTCCATAGCATGGATGTTAACAAGGTGAAGGAATTCTTTGATGCGGCATTGGAAAGAGTTGATTTGGGATTGCAATCCCATGCCGGATCGATAGAGTTGTTATTCACCAAAAGTAGGATTCTTATCAACCAGATCCCATTGCAGTATATATCGCAATTGACAGTTGAATCTAAGGTCCAAGACAGCGTGCCAAAATTAGATGAAAAATTGGATGCGGCTTTAAAAATCTACGAAGAAGCGGAAAACCAAGCTAAGGCCTTGAAACAGTACGAATTGTTCAATGAGGACAACTTAGAGATTTTGCAGGCATTTGATGATTTGTTAGAAATCGTTGATAATTTCGGAAAGGATAATCTGGAAGGGGATGAGAGTGATAAAGAAGACGATGGAGACGATGAGGAGGAGATTCAGTTGTCAAAGAAGCATCCATTATACGCAATCAGAAATACTGACAAGTATAACGAATGGTGGAGAGACCATATCATTCAGTTTTTACAAAACGTTGATCAGCAATTGGAGAAACTTGGAATTTCGTACAAGCAAGATTACGAGACTGAAAACGCCTTATTACCACTCCGTAGAGAAATCTGTAAAAGAATCGGGCAATCTTACTTACAAGAGGCAGAAATCCCATCCACGGTATTCACAACCCTCAAGTATGATGAAGGATTTGCCGATGTCGACCAATTAGAAGGATTAACTCGTGACGAATCTCAAAAAATCAGTCAAGACTTGTTCAAAATTGCGTTAGACTACTTGAAAATGGCCGAAGACAAGGAAGAACCAGAAAGTTGGGTCAATATTGCCGAGTCCATGATCTCTTTGGGAAACCTATACGAATTGGATAGTGAAGAACAGGAAAACTACTACACTGAAGCAGAAAAAATATTGGCTAAAGCTAACAATGCGACCAACGGCAAATACGAAGACATCTTGGAAAACTTACAAACATGAAAACCCTAATGCGTTACAGTATATAACAATAGACAATTAAATACATAATGACATAAATCTAATCGATACTAAATAAATTAAAGTACAATTAATATTCCGTAAATAATAAAGTCATAAGCAACTATATGAACGCAAATAAAGCGAACGAAAACTAAAAAAAAAGACGTAAAAGACATAAAATAACCGAAAGTTCTAGTAGCTGAAAACTACCCCATATGTATCAACAGCACATACCGCACCCTCCTGGATACCCAACAGGCGCCCACACAACTAAACCCCCATCATCAACCTAAACCTTACTAGTGATGGTTTTTTCGTTCTGCAACTTCATGGCATTCTTCTCGTGGGCATTATCTTTGCAGAACTGCAAGCCCTGGCAGAGATGGTCCTCGAGTAACCGATGTTTGGCGCAGAATTTGCCCTGGCAATGACTGCAGTTTCCCACCATCCGTAACGGCGCCGCACTGCAGTTCTTGAACGAACACCTATTTTTCTTCGTCTTCTTCTTCGCTGGCGCACCACTACCTCCACCGGTGGCCGCCGCCACCGGCTGGAGTGCTGGCGACGCTATAGGACTCGTCGACTTGGGTGTATCTGATCCATCACTCATAAGAATAACCACAATATCCTCCGCCCCTGCCACAATCCCAAACGTCTCCAACGTCTTGTAATTCGGCGTAAGCTTCTCTCCGTTGAATATTAATTTGAAATCCTCTGGGATTTTACCACTAGGCGGACATGCAACTTTAGCACTATTGCGTAAGTCTTCCACCGTAGAGTTATCTGGAATGGTCACAGAATATGAGATTTCTGTAGATGATCTAATGGTAACTTTCATGTTCAACTGATGCTATTGTTTGGATATTATGATAAGCTGACTCCTGGTGTTGTAAGAATAACCTTAACCTTAACTAAACCGGCTCAAATTATTGATTTAAAGACACTATAATGACTACTTGCCACCTTCTTGATTGTGATTTTATATTCATGCGATAACTAAAAACTTTATATACAGGACGACTGAATAATCGAACCGAGCATAGGTTCGGTGGAAAAAGAAAGAAATATCCAGTACTTCCTATTGTCGACAAGCAGTTTCTGTCGTTCTTCGTAACTTCGTAAGCCCTATTATAGGGTGGTTGGGTTCACCGGAGGTGTTGGGTGAGTTTGAGCAAGTTTGATTCGTAATTTTGACTCTATTATCGTAGCTATTGGGGTCAGAAATTGAGACTTATGTCCCGAAATATGTGTAGATTTATGACCATTCTCGTGCCGAAAACTTCGTCGGAGGGTCGTCCTAGGGATGCCGAGCTCCTATAACAACTCATAGTGGTTGTGTTCCAGCGATGGGCCTTCGGATGGGTTGTTGTAGGTGCGACGGGATTCCACAGAAGCAGCAGCCACCACGTCCTGGTTGTTGAACATGATCTTGACGTCCTTAGGCTTTTCAGCCGTAGGAGCATAGGTGGGGGTGTAGGAGGGCACTATGGTAGAAAAGGTGTTGGAAGGTACAAATCTGGTGGCCTTGAATTGCAAATTGGCTGGAACCGGGGTCCCCAACGCCACGGCCATAAAGAAACATATTATCAAAAGCATTGTACAGTAAATAGGGAAGAACGGAATGTAGTGTGGAATTTAGAGTACAGGGAATACTTCAAACACCGGAATGGATGTGGTTTATATAGCAGCAGGGGAGTTCCAATATAAATTACCGTAATAGGAAAGAATATTAAATTCTGATACTATCGCGAAGGACCGCAAGTTTCGAAAGTCCTTGCTACAATAAAAAGGCTGTAGAAACAAAACACTACCAGTCTGAGCCCCAGGGTAAGGGGGGAACTGATGGTTTAACACCCACCATCTAGATGTATAAATCTAGATTTGTGGTACCTAAGACGTTTCAGGGGGTTTGAATCGCGGCACAGTCGGCAGAGTATTGAATAACAAGCACGAAACATCTTCACGGACTGCCACGAATCGCGGTGGTCTTATTGTATTGGATTATCGTAATTTATTTTCGCTGGTATTCTAACGATAACACTGCCTGGAAACATGCAGCCTTGCACCCACGCATACTTCAATTCTACGTCAATAACAGCTATATTGCAGTGGGTGCAGCGGATGCAACGATTTTTTTTGTTCTCTAGGTATAGCCAGGATCACGGTAAAGAAGGAGCTCGCATATATTAGTAACTACAATAAATATACATAAACAAATAGCCAGCGATATGCACATTAAGTGTTGTTTTCGGCTTCAGTAGTGAACTTTGATTTCATGGCGTTCCTTAATCGTAATTTGCTCTTTTGCAAATCGCCGGCATCGTCTTCGATATCACTGGTGTCGGACGAAGAAGATTCGTCGCTTTCATCGTCAGCCCTGGAGCCATCATCTTCAGTTTTGGAGCCATCATCTTCATTCTTGGAGCCATCATCTTCATTCTTGGAGCCATCATCTTCATTCTTGGAGCCATCATCTTCATTCTTGGAGCCATCATCTTCTACGTCTGACTGCAAGTCCAGGAAACCAGGAATGGAGAAAATTGGAACATCGGCCAAATTGTTGATGTTAAACGATGCAGATCTCAATAACGACATACTAGGACGGTTCACCGTGTTACTCACAGGTACGTTCTCAATATCTGATTCGGACTCGTTGATATATTCACTAGATTCAATGCTATTGTATTGGCGGTAAAATTTGTCGAAGTCTTCGAACATAGAGGGTCCGTATGAATTGCAGAATTCGGTGACTTTCTCCGCCAAAAGGGTTCTGTTTCTCTTCAAATCTTCAATTTGGATGATGTCCTTATGGTGACTAAGTAACGAATAGAACAATGGTTTTAATGATTTGTAATAGTCCACCCCAATTTCCCCAATTCTCAAGGACGCGTAAGTAGTTAAAACAGACCATCCGTAACAAACAAAGAAAATTATAATCGTTGGAACCTTGTCCTTGGTGATGTTCAGTTTGATAATCAAAAAGGTTCCAATGATGGAGTAGAAAATATATAACGAAGGTGCCAAAACTAATGCAACCAAGATTTTCCACGTTCCCAACACGTCATTAGCTTTAATTTTAACCACTGAGCCAGCCAACGCTTCTTTCGCCTTTTTTCTGGCGATTCTTCTACCAACGATGAACACGGGTGAAAAAAGGAAGATGCCCGGCATACTCAAACCTAAGAACAAAAACACCTTAAATAATCTGGCGGAAAATGTTACAAATGTGTGAAGCCTATTGGTTTCAGTTAAGGATTCGACTTGATGGTCATGCAACCCCATTCTCATTAATTTCTTATTATAATTACTAACAAGAGTTTTCATCTCGACGACTTCAGGGTCATTAGAATACTTTTGATACCCCTTGACTAATCTTCTATTCATTTCCACAACTAGAGGCAAAGGTATTGACTCTCTATTTGACGACGTATACAATCTTCTAGCCGCCTGTAATGCCATTAAGGTATCGTAATCCCCACATGTTACTGTAACTTCTTTCAAACCTAGGGTGATGACATCGATTAATTTTGCAACTGATTCCTTAGGATTTTCCTCATATTTCTCTCCTAATTTCTTATCAACCTTGATAGGTTTACCAAATTCGATAACAGCCCTAGACCTAAATTTATGAGGATGGAAATAATTCATTCCGACTGGTATTACGTTTATTACGACGTCAGGATCTTCCGATTTCGCTGCTGCCCCCAATGCCATAATCGCTACCCCTGGCTTCAATGGTAATAAGTCAGGTCTATCGTGTGAACCCCCTTCAGGAAACATTCCCAATACGTTCCCTGCATTCAAATGGTCGAAAACATGTTGAAACACGCAGTTGTTATCAACATGTGGGGCTACTTTAAAGATCGTACCTTCTGTCAAGCGCTGTATACGTCTTTTGTCTGCTTCGTTGGGATCAGATACGTTTATCTGGAATGTTTTGCGTAACGTCAACTTGGTATCCGATTCAATAGATTCGATCACGGCATTCCCTAGCGATTCTGGTAATCCTATCAATCCTTTTTTCATGCATTCCTTTGTGAATAAAGTTCCCTCACCTTCGACTATGGTCCCGTCTTCTAAGTCCTGAAGCTTGATTGTTCCCGTCCCCGGTGTTAGAAGATCTTGCGCTCTTTCCACTGGTATCGCCCCCGTGAACTTTGCCCCCGTTCCAATAAACTTTCTTCTGTACGATTTCGCTGCAACCAAGAAAGCAATCCGTCTTCTGGAGTATTGTTTCACAGAAGACATCACCACTATAGGATCAATGAATTGATTAGCATGAGGGGCAATAACAAACACAATTGCTTCCTTCTTGGGGATATTGAATGTTCCTCTGGACTTTACTTCTCTAAAAAAAGTGTGAATAACCGCTGAGAAGAACCAAAGCACCAAATCATAACTAATAGTGGTCAAAATCCTTGTAAGTAAGCCATTTTCTACTTCAACCGTCTTTCTAGTACCATTGTCATCCTTCTTCTTTTCCTGGTCTTTATTCGTAGTATCCATTATGTGATTCTGTACAACTATGTAAAGAATTGACTGATAAGCAAGGATTCTATTTCATACAAAAAATAGTTGATTGCGAGGGGAGCAATTATCGCCCCTCCAAACCCAACACCCTAGGAAGAGTGGTAAATATATCGGACTATGTATTTACATATACATTATATATCGTGTATATCGTAGATTATATGCGTTCGGGCCCCAGAGACGTTCTAATCTTCGCCAGCTGGTACTTCGTCTTTCAAGATTTTATTGAGCTTCAATCTAAGCTCTGTCTGTTCATCACCTCTCAAAGCATCCTTAACAAACCACACGTCAACATCAAGTTGCACCATCTGTAGCGCCCCTCTCAATACACCACACAATACCTGTGAATACCATAACTCCTTATTGATCTTGTTATCGTTCGTGACAGGCAATTCTACAAACTCCGCCAACGGATTGTCCACCAATATCAACGAAAACGACTTGCCATCCTGGCTCCAGTTGGTCACCACGGGCTGGATGTTCAAAAATATCTTGAATCCCACCTTGGAGATTATTTCTGCCGTTTCTTTAAACGTCTGGCACCTCTGAGCTCCCGTCTTGGCCACAAACTCTTCGATTAGCCTTAACCCTATATTATATCCCATTCTGTCCAACTGCTGGTTCACCTCCTGGTAATTATTGTTGTAGTCCCTACAGAGCTGCGAAACAACTGATCCATACGTCAACGTGAACAATTCTGAGTTCTGGTATCATCGTTAGTAAACCGAAATCTCCAAAATGCCATATCTTGGTTTTCCCTCCCTAAATAAATCTAAAACATACTATTTTTTCGACATTATTCTTCCATATGTCATCGCTCGAAAATCTCGATGCCTTGGACATGTTCTATCTACCTATCGTCCTACTTCTTCTACCATAAAACACCTATATTTCGATAGTAGCGGTTCAGTAAATTCATGAGATCGATATTGCTACTGCAGATAGCCCCCTCCAGCCATTTCTCCCATACTTAACACCGCTCCCATCCAGCTACAATACATGTCTACAAAATCTCTCGGTGTGTGCACCATGGTTGCTATTCTAGGTAGCATTTGCTTGTGTCTATCGTTTGCATTCTACAACACCGAAGAAGCAGGCATATTCGTGCAAATATTGCGATTCGGATATCCGTCGAGACCACGATAACTGCAACTCACGATCTACATGAGGTATATATGAGGTACTACCATCAAAAACATCGGCTTTTGCTCAGCAAGAACCCTGGAATTCCAGGGTACCATTTGTAGCAATATATCCTACCGGTCTATGACCCATGTTATCGATTGATCATCCCGTCATGCTATCATTCCCGACCCCTAATAAACGCGAATTGTATGCCAGAAAAAAAGAAACAAGAAAAAGCATACTAGAACCATCTGATTATTCAGATTATTTACCATATTAATTTCATCATTTAGAGCATCAGGATAAAAAGAATAGCATAGAGTTAACAGTAGAGCATGAATAGTATACCTATTAATTTTATGCCACCGGAGAATTTCTCGAATGTGATGTGGCAATCATACGAGCCAGTGGTTAGTCTGAGCTTGAAAAAGAACTTAATAGCGGGTATACCAGATGGGGTGTTGGCATTGATTGCGCCTATTATAGCATATTGGGGGTACGCTACGGTTTTCCACATTATTGATGTTTACGAGTTGGCGGAAAAATACAGGATACATCCTAGTGAAGAAGAAGAAGCAAGGAATAAAGCGACATTGAAGGATGTGGTCAAGGATGTTGTGATACAGCATATTATTCAGACGGTTGTGGGAGGCACATTCTTCTTGTTCGATCCACCACAGACCACGGGACACGAGTGGATGATTATGTGGAACTTGAGGCAGAAATACGTTCCGTTGTTCGTTCCGGATAACGTGGTTTGGGTGGGCTACATGTACGGATGGACGTTTTTGAGGATTTGTATTGCGATATGCATTATCGATACATGGCAATACTGGCTCCACCGGATAATGCATGTCAACAAGACGTTGTACAGAAAGTTCCATTCGAGACACCACAGATTATACGTTCCGTATGCGTACGGAGCGTTGTACAATGACCCGGTAGAAGGGTTTCTCTTGGACACGCTTGGAACGGGTATTGCGACCATCGTCACCAATTTGTCTCATCGTGAGTCGATTATCTTGTTTACGTTTGCCACATTGAAGACGGTAGACGACCATTGTGGGTATCGCTTGCCATTCGATATATTCCAGATTATTTTCCCCAATAATTCTCTCTACCATGACATTCATCATCAGACATGGGGTGTGAAAAACAACTTTTCTCAACCCTTCTTCACGTTTTGGGATAAATTAAACAAGACTGACTATAAGTTCATCGACGAATACAAATCGATGCAAGATCACATCACCTTAAAGAAATATAGAGAATTTTTGGCCAACAAACAAAGAAAACCTAATAAAAGACCTGTTAATACTGAACCAGAAAAGAAGAAAGATATTTAATTCAAACATCCATTCCTTTTCCTACATTTATATATACTAATGCTTCATAAATCTAATAATGTAATAATCCATAACTTAATTTAATTTCATATTTAATATTTTTCACTGCCGTAGGAAGCTGTACATTTTAGGTGCCTTATTTAGATGGCTACATTTGCTTCAATGTAAACTTAAATAACTCGATACTCGAACACCCAACTCCTTTCTATCTCTAATATCTCGAGTCATACTGACTACCTTCTATGGCTCCTGGATCACGTGTTTTATATGAGTCAAAACCCCATACATTTGGGACATAAATAGCCCCAAATGCTTTGCAGTAAATCAGAATCCTACGTCGACAATCTGAACAATTGACATCTTATACAATGTCTACGTATTCTGAATCTAATTTCAACACTACTCACTACAATCTGGCCAGGCCATCATATCCTGATGAGTTCTACAATACATTAATGGAGTATCATGACTCTACGAACTCTGCACACGAACTAGCAGTGGACATCGGATGCGGATCGGGCTTTGTCGCTTTCAAGCTTCTTGATTTCTTCGATACAGTGATTGGTACTGATGTTTCTAGCACCATGGTGAGCCAATGCTGCAAAACGACGAAGCCCAACGAAAATATTCAATTTCTTGTAGGTGCTGCAGAACAGGCCCCTCCTGAAATCCAGGAAAATTCGGTTGACTTGATCACCGGTGCTGAGTGCTGCCATTGGGTTGACCACGAAAAGTTTTTCAAAGAATCCTTTAGGATCTTAAAACCCGGGGGAACCTTGGCCTATTGGTTTTATAAGGATCCAATCTTCATTGGCCACGACAAGGCCAATGAGATCTACACAAATTACACTTATAATTCTTCGATGGAAATGAATAAAAATGACACCTTTGAGAGGTACATGGGTCCTTATTACCAGCAACCAGGCCATGACTACTTGCGGACGCTAATGAAAGAAATTGAGGTTCCAACTAAGTATTTCAAAAACGTTGTAAGACGCGAATACGACCCAGTACACCATGGTGCTGACAGTACGAAGACAACTCTTTATATTTCCAAGAAGATTACTCTCCCGGCATTTTTGAATTATGTCAAAAGTTGGAGTGCATATCATACCTGGATGAAGGAACATGGAAGCAAATATGACATCGCTGAAGCTTTTGTTAACGAATTAAAGGAAGCAATGAATTGGGATGACACGTTTGAATTCGAAGTAGTCTGGGCCACCGTTTACACGTTTGCTAAAAAGAAATGATTAGCCATTTAGAGTGTCTTCATTTAGATTAATAATGGACCTTCGTATCCTGTCACGTGATGGTTGATATATTTTATAAATATTTAGTAAAGGTACTTCTAGTTTGTAAGGGTTTAGTAAATTGATATGTATCATTATATAAAGCTTAAAAATCCTTGTTTATTGGTGGCCTGATTACGAATAAGTAACCAGTATTTATATGAACACAAATTTCTTCAAGTGGGTTTTAGTTTTATTTTTTTTATCCACTTATTTTACTATAGGATTTCAAATATCAGAGAAACAAATGTCGCTTAGAACAGTTAGAACAATTCTTACAGCTTTTGAACAAGCCGAAGGAGTCGGTGCCAAGGTTCGTCGTTCCATTGGTACGATGAACATGAGGAACTTCAATCCATTTTTGATGCTTGATGATTTCTCGGTTAGTGCTCCAGCTGGGTTCCCAGAGCACCCCCATTTAGGCCAGGAAACGATTACGTTGATTCTTAAGGGTGCAGTTGCTCATGAAGATTTCACTGGGTCGAAGGGTGTCTTATATCCTGGTGATTTGCAATTCATGACCGCAGGAAAGGGTGTTGTTCATTCGGAAATGCCAGTGCCCCAACCAGACGGATCGCCAACGGTAGGCATGCAATTGTGGGTTGATTTACCTGAGTCTTTAAAGGAATGCAAGCCTCGTTACAGAGATTTGAAGAGTTACGAAATTCCAGAAGTCGTTGAACAGGACGGAAAATTACGTATTAAGGTTATTTCAGGCAAGTCTCATGGTGTGGAATCGTTGAAGGACTTGGCATACACCCCAATTCACTATTACTATTACACCATGAAGCCAGGAGCTACTTTCAAACAAGATATGCCAAAGGATTTCAACTTTTTCTTATACGTTAGAGAGGGTAACACCTTAGTTGTTAATGGAGACACCAAGATTGAAAAAAACCGCAACTGTTTCTTCAACATGGACGGTGATGGAATTACCGGTGAAAACCCAGCATCTTCTACTGAGGACGTTGAGTTTGTTTTGGTCGGTGGTAAAACCCTAGACCAAGAAGTTGTTCAATACGGCCCATTCGTAGCAACTTCCCAAGACAGAATACAGCAAGCTTTCTCCGATTACAGATCTGCTCGCAATGGCTTTGACAACTTAAGGAGTTGGGATTCCTTAATTAGCGGTGGTGTAACCGATGACATGGTGTGTGGTGAATTAAAGGGTAGTCTTGATGATAGAGAAAAAGAAAGATTAGCTTATCTTCATAATAAGGAATCAAAAAAGGATGAACTTTAAAATAAATTAGCTTAGCATATGTGAAAAGTAAGTAATTCGAGAGAGGCGAGCTTTTTATGTACTATATATGGTTGAATTTACTAATATTATGTTTTATATAAATTGATTTGAATCTTGTAGTATAAATCCAGGTTGAATGAACACGACTTTGGAAGACGCGCAATATTTTGAACAGTGAAAATGATCCACATTAAGTACCTAATATAACTTGTAGATAATGACCATGGATGCTTCATCTGATCAAGTGCAATACTTGTCATCGAAATTATTGAAGCACAATACACCAGTGACATATCATATTCTAGCAAGAGAATTGAAAATTCATCAAAATAATGCAAAGAATGTCCTACATGAGTTTTACGCAGCGAATGGAGATAAGATACTGGCTTCATTTATAATTACAGGAAAAAGCGAAAGTGGTACCCTTATTAAGCTATGCAAAGACGAAAGTTCATTGGAGCTGGACATAAAGTTATTTGAGGATATTCACAGTATTCACGTTTATAGCTTGCAGACCAAAGAATCGCATATGGGCAATGAGAATATAGTATTAGAAGAGTTAAAGTATAAGATCGACCATATGAACAGTGACGAATATTACAACCTTGGTATGATAAGAGGGCCTGGTTTGGTTGTTGTGGATGCAAAGCTGGTACAAGTTAAAGCACCAAATACTACCGTAAAGAGTGATGCAGCACCGGCTGATTCTACTAATGAAACATCCGCCAAAACACCTAAGAGCGCCGGTTTGACCTCTGGCTATGTTTCACGTAAAGCCAATAATGACAATAGATCTTCTGATAGATCTAAAACAGATTCGATATCAAATTATACCTCACGTAAATCTGAAACCGCTAATAAGCCATCGAAGAGATCACTGACGGCACCTACTTCTGGATACCAATACAAATCTAGAAAATTGGAAAAGCAACAACCAAGAGAAAGAGTGGTCATTTCTAATGAAGGTGAACATGACCACGTTGAAGAAGAGCTCCCGGAAAAACGTGAAAATAAGAAGAATTTATCTGACCTCAATAATTTGTTTATTGATGACTTCAGTGATGAGAGTGATAAAGAACCTAATAACGATGAAAACGAAGAGCCGGTTGTTATTAATGAAAATGAGTCTGAATCGAAAGAACCCATATCGAAAGAGTCAAAGGCGCCTGAAGTCACTTCAAAAAAGACTCCAACTCCGACACCTAGAACTGAAATTAAAACTGAGCCCGATGCGGTTGATGACGATGGTTATTTGACTTCATTTAAATCAAATAATCCGGTAAAAAATAAGCATGACAAAAAGAAAACACAATCTTCTTTGATGAATTTCTTTAAACCTAAATAAATAACCGAGCGGTTGCAATTTGTATAGTATAATAGATATTTACTAAGAAATCATAAATATAATTTCGCAGCTTTCCCCAATTTTGGTGAGAAATCAAGAATTTCATATAATCATGTTATCAAACAGAAACAATTACAATGATGCTTTCCCTTTTATGAAACATATTCTTCGATTAACTTACAGGATATAATAGTATAATCATATATAACATGTTTGGTATAATGAAACTGCCGACATTACGATTTCTGAAATTATTTCCCGATTAGGAAATGATTTCTGAAATCGTCCATGAGGTCGTATGGGGCAAACTGAATTCCCCATTAGCTAGTTAACTTCCTAAAAGGTGTCTATGCACTTCTTAACGAATACTGATTTCGCTTGTAAATATACCTTCCTAGAAGCGTCAGAAAGGTGTTTTGGAGATGAATATAGGTGCAATTTGCAGACAAAAAAAAATTAATATCAACCCAGTTTAAGGTCACCATTCTTTTTAACTGCGATAAAGTTGGACCTCGACATATACGATACACGAAAAGGGTTCCTAGATGATGAAAGCATTCTTAGAAAGCATTCTTAGTACCGACTCTCTTCTAATTCGTTTGGTTCATCGATGCGGGCCGCACGTCGTAAAAATCAATAAGTTAAAAAATTACCGTATTAGGAAAACACGATTTGCTGAATGAAGTAATGAGATATACGAATGTAAGTTACATTAGCTTACTACTTCTAGTAATCTATTTTGTTTGTATATCCAAGTACTCCATAATCTTACTACTTTTAGTAATGGTTTGTACTTTTAGAGTCAACAATTGTCCCTAAAGGGTTTACAATAATTCAATCTAACTCTAGCCGAAGAATTTATTATTATCAAAGCTAAATATATAAGGTGGCTTTATCCCAGGCTTAAATAAACCTTCCAACTATATCAGAAAGTTTTTCTTAACGTACGCTTTCTATTGATTTTAAACATAGCATCCCATGAAGGTATCAACTACTACGCTCGCTACTGTCATAGCATGTACTACTGCTGTTAGTGCAGCTCCAGCTACTTATGAATCATCCGTTCAAAAAAGAGCTGATACTGATCAATTAGCCGAAGCCTTAAGAGAGCTTCAATCTTTCAATGAAAAGAGAGATACTCTTAGTACTCACTTAGAGAAAAGAGAATATGAGATAGTCACAAAAGTCTTAGCTTCTTTGAACGATACTGGAATGGCTCCAAAGGTTATCCATTACCTTGCTACAAATGAAAAATTGCAACCGATTGTCGTCAAGACATTAGTCGCTGTCATCAAGGCCGGTGCTATGAACTTAACGGGTATATTTAAGGCTTTAGATGAGTCAAACTTAGTAACTAAGGTTGTTAACGATCTTATTTCCGATTGTCAATTATATGTTTCGTTATTTGACGTTGCCAAAAAGATTATTGCCAATTTGGAAAAGAAGGTCGAATCTTTAGTTAAACAAGGTATCTCCAAGTTAAGTCAAAGAGATTTAGAAGTTATACAACATCAAAAAAGATCTTCCTCGCAATTACAATCATCTGCTGAAGAATTTGATAAGAGAGACCTTAATGACGTTGTTGTTAATTTATTAGATTCCTTAGGAGAATCCGGTTTAGCAAGTTCTGTTGTTAAATCTATTGCCACTGATCCAAGTTACCTTCCATTCGCTGTTGATTTAGTCAAGGAAGTTATGGCTAGCGGTGCTTTGTCATTGTCACAACTTATCAGTGCTGTTAAGGATTCTAACTTAGTTGGTAACTTATTAGAACAAATCTTGACTGTTGATACCTTCAAGACTGTTGCTACCAATGCATTTGCCGCTTTCTTTGGTGACTGTCCTGGGGCGACTTCCGTTATTTCTGCTGATGGTGCTGCTTCCACCAGTTCTTCAGGTGGTTCCGGCTCTGGTTCCGGTTCTGGTTCCGGCGCTGATTCCGGCTCTACCTCCGGAAAGGGTACAACTGTTAACCCATGTAAGAAGAAGAGAAGAAGAAGATCCTACAATTATTAATTCAACTTACCACTACTCACCACATATCTAGTACATGATTACAATCATAAAACAGTTTTGACAACTAGTTTAAAAATACCATTTTCATTTTCTGTTCCGTATTAATTAATTTCTGAACCTTTCCGTTTTAATAACTTCCATTTTTTAAATATTAGTATTGATAATATAAGTATTTCATATAAAAGGGCGCGAAGGATTCTGAAGTCTTTTGGAATGTTCCATTTTTGCAATTTTAAGTGCGATAATTTTTGTAGCAAAAAAACTTCCCAATTAGGAATTTTATAAATAGTAGAACAATATTTACATTCTAATTTTATTGTAACATAAAATAGACGAGAAGCAATATCTGTATGCTAAAATTATGTTGATTAGCTGATTATGTTTGTGTTAGCTTGTCGTCTTCGTCATCGAAAATCTCAGAGATAATTAAAAAAGCTAGTTTGTATGGTGAACGTAACACCTAATTCCTGGAATGCCCCAAAGAATAACGATCGACAGCATAATATAAGTGATATTATGGAGCATAAGATGATAAAAGAAGAAAACACGAATCTTCCGTCTCCATCAAAATCATTACATGGTACCCAAATACCTCGGGATTCATTAAACTCCACAGAGAGCATCCATAGCATTAAGGTAGAATACGAATCCATATCAGATGTACGTGGGGAAAATAAGGGGATATCAAGAGCAGAAAATATAAAAACAAGAAGTGGAGGAATAAGTAGCTTTTTAAAACCTAAGTTTTTAAAGTCAAGGTCATCTCTTAATTCCAGCGGTAGCATGGAGAATATCATACGATCTGAACCCAATTTTACAACAAAACAAAGACAATCAACTATTGAAGATTTCGCAGATACGTCGTCTGAAGGAGAAAATTCCAAACAGTATGTTTATGATGCCGAATCAATTAATTCTATTTTGGAGGAATATGGAACAAGGAATTCGTTAAATCTTAGTCCAACGAAGAAAAATGATTTCATATTCAAAGAGGAATTCAATGATTCATCGGAACTGAATAGATCCAGATTATCTAGTATGAATAGAAGTAATTCGGCAAGAAATAGTGGTGCGAATACTCCAATAATACTATCGAACGCTCCTCAAACTGGAAGAAATAACGGGACTTCTGTTATTGAACGTACTTTGGGCAATCGTTCAAGTCAAAGCAGCTCCGGAAATTCATTATCGCCAGATGCATTATATGATTGTTCAAAAGGTAGTAACGGCACGAATAGTGATAGTTCAGGATCATCCAAATTTAAAATATACACAGATAAACAAAATGAAGGTCAATCAGATACCAGGGAAAAAGTTGATAGACGAAATATTATGAGTACATCCTCAAATGTAGATGTATTCAATAGAACCTCATTGTCTAATCTAACAACAATATCTAATGTTGATTTTAATATGACTGATGATAATAAGTACCCTGCATCCAATTCGACTAATGCCCATAGACAAAGCAAAAGACAAAGTGATAACCGTTTTCTATTTGATGTCTCTAATAACATTCTAGAATCAGAATTCGATGAAAACGCTGACTCAAACATGCTGGAAAGAGTACTTCAGCCTAAAGATAGAACAAGCTTTTTCTCTGATAGGTTTCCAAACACTAGTCTGATCAACATGGATGAAACAGCTATTAAGAACACGACAAGAGACGTAACGAGGTCGTCTATGTCTACGAATGAATTACTATATAAATTAGAAACATTTTACGATACCGGTAATGATAATAATACCCAAGAATCGATAGCTCGTTCAAAAGAGACAAACAAGAATTTTTACGATCTAACTGCTGGCGTTGATTCTAGAACAAACCTTCCAGTAATGCTTTACAAAGTACAAGATAAACATTATCTCGAAAGAAATAACAGGTGGTCTGTAGACTACAGACTACAGAAGGATGTGCGTTCAAATAGATCTCCAGTTTCAAGTCAGCAGCACAGAAGTCCTGACCTTATTCCAAAATCATTTGCAGGATCTAGCATGTCAATCCTTGAACCATCAAAATCACGCCTCGGACAATATGCTTCTAAAACTAGTATAGCACTGTCTGGGCAAGGTGTATCATTAAATAGCGACCCATCCCAAATTTACGGCTCAAAGAAACATTCTCATAATAACTTGCATGAAAAAAGTCCAGCACCCATATTTAATCCATCGGCTTCAGATACCCAATCCCACGGTTCCGTAACGCAGCTTACCACCAACAATTACCTACACGATACCTTATCGAAGAATAATTCACATGAGCATATGCTCAATAATACCCCCACCACTAATTACAATACAATTGGCTCTTCATACGAGGATCTTGAAAAAAATGATCTCAGCCCAATTCTCAACCAAATTCGGCATAAGACTCACTCCTGGCCCCTTTTCATATTGATTATGATAATAGGCTTGGTTGTGCCCCCAATATATATATTACTTGCCGCTGGCTTCTTTGATAACAATAATACCAGCAACCGCCAATACAATCTACAGCTGACATATCTTGTGGTTAATCCAAATCAAAAGAAAAGATTTTCGAAAACTCAGAAGTTAATCAGTTTCATCATCGGTTTGCTATGGCTATGTATCGTATTGGCCATGATAGGAGTAGGTCTTGGGGTAGGTCTTACCCGTGAAAGTTAGTTTAATAGTAAATGAAATATTATGTATGGAGCGTTTTGTAAATATCGCACGACTACTAGTGCACTATGTATTAGCAAGTTGACATGAGATCATATAACTGATATGGGGTAATTAGAAAGTTCAATATCATTATAGTATTAACGCCTATTTATTGATGTATAATGGGGAATGTTCCAGCTAAAGAAGGAAGAAGTAGGTCGGGTACCCATTCGTCAGGATCCTCGACGTTGAATGCTGATTCGCCAGGTGGTAGACCGGGGAGAAGAAATACCGTATCAAGTGTATTTTCAACAAATTTAATTGATAATAAGAAATCTAAAAGACAGGAAGAGAAGGATAAACAGAAGGAAATACACTATTTAGATTTAATTGTTCGGTTTAATGAAAATGTTGATGGCGGGTTTTTGGCCCCTTATGGAACTTACAAGTCTAATTTGGATTACGATACGGAGATAGTCAGGAGATTAATAATCAATCGTCAGTTAGCACCATTCTACACTCCATTACAGGATTTTGACGACCATTGGTCTGATGAAGAATTGATTATTTTATTATCTCAGATGAGTTTGCATTCGATAGAAACAGCATATTCGGATACCGAGGAAGACGACATGGATGATCATAAAATCCATAAGTCAAGTAATTTTTTCAGAAGACAAGAGCAGAAAGCGAAATTGATATCGTTGATAACTAGGATCAAAGACATGCAGAAGGCTGAAGAAAATAGATTTTTGGAAGAAAAATTAAAAGCTAAAAATGGGGAAGTAGCGGTGTCGCCGGATATACCATCGAAGGATTTGTTGTTGAAACTATATCGCAAAGCTTCTGAATGTCCAATTTGCTTTTTGTATTATCCACCACATCTTAATTTAAGTCGTTGTTGTCTCCAACCCATCTGTACAGAATGTTTTGTTCAGATTAAGAGATTAGATCCGCATCCACCTCACGATGACAGTTCAAACGAACCAGGGTCGGATGCTTTACCGCATACTTTGATTTCGGAATCGGCAAATTGTCCATATTGTGCAATGCCTGATTTCGGAGTTACATATAATATTCCCACTGATATATGTACTGGCATTAACGGAAATAAACCGAACTCCTATACTCTTCCTTTTGAAAGCATTCCGGAAGATACTAATGCCATCTCTACGTCTCCAGGGGGGAACAAGAATAATGACTTACCAGCTGTTAAGCCTGCTAAACAAAGAAGAAGGTCTTCTGTTGCTGCGGATTCCTCGGGTGTAATAACGATAGATATGATTAGGCCTGACTGGGAACAAAAATTAGTGTCAGCAAGAAACAAATTAGCTAGAAAATCTGCGACTGCAAGTGCTATACATGCATCAAACTTATTAATCAATCAAGATGAAGAAAATAATTCATCAAGAAGATATTCGTCTGGAGAAAATGGAAGAAGATCTAGTACTTCTCATTATAGGTCGGTAGAAGAAAGAATGATTGAGGAAGCGTTAAGGTTATCGATTCAAGATGAAGAGGAAAGAAAAAGGAAAGCAGAGTTAGATGCGCAAAAGAAGAAACTGGAGAGCAAATAATTATGATAGATATTTAGTAAATATTCAAATATATGTGAATGTGTGTAACGACCACTAAACATATTATACCATTGTATTATCGCATATAGATATGTGTTGTTATAAGAAAATCCCCCATGTAACTACAATATTAATAATATTATGCAAATATAATATAATATAATATATACCGTTTTCCTTCTACATATTCTATTTACTGCCCAATTCTTTTAATGTATCAGCCAAAATATCTCTCAACTTGAACAAATTAAGAATCCTCAATTTTTCATCTTTTAAATGGGCATTATCACTCGCTTGCCCACATGGAATTTGGGCAGCACATGCATTAAAACACTTCTCTAGGAACCTAATCGAGGGAATTGTACCTCCTTCACGAATAAATAATGGTTCAGGAACCTCTGGCCCCCAATTCGAGCGAATTTTATCATAAAGAATTTTATAGACCAAGTTATATGGATCACCAAGCCAAGGTTCAGCTTCATGGAAAATGTTTATCAGTAAATGATTATCAGTTTCTAGTTTATTAAAAGAATCATTTAATGTCTTGATCAACAGTTTTTTAATCTTTTCTAGATCCTGATTAGGAACTATACGGATTGAAACAGACGCTTTAGCCAGTTGGGGAATAACAGTATTATTATTTGGACCTGAGACTTGAATATTATGAATAGTCAATGAAGGGTTTCTCCACTTCGCCATTAAAGACTTAAAATCTTGATTCTTAATATTCTTCGTAGTCGCTGTGTTTTCAATCTTCTGATAAATTTCTATTTCTCTATCGGTTAATGATAGCACATCGTCATAGAAGTTAGGAATCTTAATATTGTTATTAAATGGATTCATTAATTGACCTAGAATTTGAATTAAATCCATTGTAGGTTCTTTCAGGACGCCCCCGTCTACACCAGAATGTCTGTCCGGCTTATCGGAACTTACTGTGATAGATGCATTAATAACTCCTCTCAAACCATAGTTGAGACAAGGCGTTTCATCGTCAAGCCAATATGAATTAGATAACATAATCCAATCAATATCTCCAATTAATTCCTTATTTTCGTGAATCACATCCTGGAATCCAATAGAACCACATTCTTCCTCACCTTCGATTATAAATACGACATCGCAACTAAGTTCCTTGTTGTGAAATAATTCTGACACAGCATATATTGCAGCCAAAATAGGACCTTTATTATCAGAAACCCCACGAGCATACAAATTACCATCTCTTGCAGTAAGACAAAACGGATCAGTTGACCAAGAGTTTGAATCAGCTGTTGCATCAACAACATCATAATGCCCATACCAAAGAATTCTTTTCGCTTGTTTGGGTCTATCTGGAGAATTGCTTGAAAAGCACGAATAAACAACAGGATTACTATTAGGCACTGGTAACAATTTGGTTACAGTTGCACCCAAGTTAACTAATAAATTAGTTAAAAATTGAGAACAACGACGAGAATCTTCTAAGTATAACGCAGGAAATTTCAGAATTGTTTTGTATGAGATAAATCTCTTTAAAGACTTTAGCAAATTTTCGTTATCTACCAAATTAGTCGATAAGCTGTTGGCGTCTGAAAGATGCCTATTAGTACTTCCCAAATTAGTAATATCCCAAAGACAAAGCGCTTTATGGCCTCCAGATACCAAGTAAGTGACACCTGTTATCGAAGTAAAAATTTTTACAGCAAGTACACTTCCATTTTCAACACTGGATTTATTAAATTCCGCGTTATAGTTATCGTCTTCTTCGGTAATAATCACCAGCGATGATCTATCAGGATTGAGATTTCCATGGTCTTTAGGAACCATGTTTGGCGGATTAGTTTTCGAGGAAAACTTTATTAATCCGCCTAAATTTGATGCTTTAAAAATACAATCATTATATATCCCCAAACTCAAGACCTCATCGTAATTATTTTTGACCTGTTGAGAATTGGAGAAATGAATTGATCTTATTAATTGGAATGTCATTAAATCCCAAACATTGATACATGGTTCTGATAAGCCAACGTACAAGTAGGAGTCTTGAATAGACATCGATAAAACTGACTCATTGTTCTTTAATATTTTTAGCTTTTCAAGAGATACTTTATTATTAGTACAGCTAACACCCCAGATAATAACTAGCCCATCACCTCCACCGGTAATTAATAAATTCGCAAACTGCGTTGGGTAGTTTTTAGTGAAGTCATTTGAAGTGTCTTCAACATCAAAGTAATTCATACAGTAAACATACCCATTATGAGCAAACCTGATAATATCATCGTTGTTGACTTCGATTAATTTAGGTGATATGCTATTCGGTGTCTCAAGAGAAGTCGACTTTAAAATTTGATGTTTTGATTGCAAATTATTAATTGAGCCACCGGGTCCCTTTGAATCAAAAAACTTATCGTATCTAAAATGTGGCATTCTATCGATTGTGGACTGACTATCAGAAATAGTTGAAGAATATAAACATAATTTACACCATAAAATAGATGCATTTTGGGCCCCAATAAATAATGTCGATAAAGAATCAGACCAGCATATAGAAAAAACATCACCTATATCGACAAGCAGGTAAATAATATGAGTGCAATGTATAGGATAGTGGGTGTTGTCATTAACCATGGATAGATCCCACACCTTAATTAACGAGTCAGACCCAGCACTAAATAAATAGTCCTCTGATTCGTCTATCGTCAAACATAAAATGGATGCTGAATGATCTGAATTGCCACATTTGATTTCGTACTTCAAACTGTAATTAACTATGTCAAAGACTAAAATCTTCGAATTCTGCGTCCCACAGAATATCAAATTACGTCTCGGAGATGGAACAACACATAAAATCGAGTGCGTATGAGACCATTTATGAATTAAATTGGGAAACCTGTCCACAGGATTATTCGTTGAATTATCTCTGCTCAAACTAGCAATGGTCAAATTAGGCGATCTGACAGGCGTTGGAATTCGTGCTGGTGTAGACACTGACGACTCAGAAGTACTATTTATAGGTAACCGCACTCTAGCTGGAATTGGTACATACTCTGCTTCATGTATATTACCGTTAAACGCCATATTTTACCCGGTAACTTCTTATCCTGTTTGCATTCCTTTTCGTAGTCATCTAAACTTGTATTGTAGATTCACCGATTTGATGCGAGTGCGTCATAATGTCGTACGATACTTAATTATCACCAAATGTCGTAAATGTCTCTCTACTTCTGTACTTATCTCTCTATGTCTATGTACTTCTTTTACCATAATTCTTCTTCTCGCCCCCGTAGTTTCGGATACGGATAGTACCTCTGGTCCATAATGAATGCATTAGCCCTCATAAACTATTCGAATTTCCTGTGCCATCTGAGTATTTTTCCCTTCACATATTCAAACACAGTTTTCTATCGACTCCTATACTACCCACTCTCCTACAAATTCCATCGGTACCGGGGATTATACACAGCATACAACGAATCCCTTTTCTGTTCGTCTAATTAAGAAATTCCACCATTTCTTGCAATGCTGCAATTTGCCGCTATCCGGACTAACCATTTTGTATATGCAGTATGACCATTGATTTCTGGTGTTACGGTAAATATGGTAATCACCTTGGCACCGTGGTCTCCCAGCATATGAAACTCTAGGTTCAGTATATGCTAGTTGATATTAGCCAAGTATTAAACCACATCTATACACCCACTATAAAAATTGTAAATAAATATATACACCCATAAGAGCTTTGATTTTGGCATCGTGGGCATCCCACGTGGTGTAATAAATTACTTAGCACGTCAAACCTCCGCCCATTTTTTTTGGCCAAGAGTTAAACGTCAAGACTTAGTTATTCCGATTGAAGCAAACCGTTGGCTTAATTAGGTATTTCATCGCACGAGTCTTAACTTGATGAAGTTCTCTCATTCTCTTAAATTTAATGCTGTTCCTGAATGGACCGACAGCTACATAAACTACACTGGGCTCAAAAAAGCAATATACAAACTTCAACAAGACCAGTTGGATAACCAACCACAAGATGGATCAATCCAAATCAATAGCGTTAATCCCACTACTGTCACGGACTTGGTGAATGAATCTAAGGTCCAGGCACCAAAAAATAAAGCTGAAAATGAATCAAACGATAAAAAATTTTCATCTAGGTTGATCAGCAGGTTTAGAAAACACGGACCTGATGTTGACGACGATGAGAAGGCAGTTGGAAGTTCGACTGTTGATGCACGTTTGGGAAATTATAATGGTTCGAAAGAAGAAAAGAATCAATCTATCGAGTCATTCACGGTTGATTTGGATAATTCCACAATCGTTACATTTGACGAAGAGAAAACCAAATACAACGACCAGAAGTCGTCGAATTTTGATCCGTTAAAGGTTTTCACAAAACAATTATTGATCGAATTAAGTAAAATCAACGACTTTTACCTTTCAAAGGAACTGGTTGTCTTTCAAGACTACGACAATTTGGTTCGCGATTTGGAAAGTAATCATATTAATATTGATGAGTTATTTAAGACGACTCAAGCGTACCAACAGGAATTTGGTCCTATAGAACATTCTTCTAAAGAGCCTGTTTCGAGAGTTGCATCCTTAAATCACGCTGACTATGAACACCATAGTTTTGAGAAGCCTAATGGCGGAGTTGTCGAGGTCGAGAGGTATTCGGATGATGATGATGACGATGACGATGACGACGATGACGAGACCCATAGCCAGAATTCGGCTTTATTAAATCATACTGATTTCAATGTTAAACAGCAAAAGCAAATTACCTTGAAAAAGAAGTCTATTAGTTTATTCATCGCTTTGTCAGAGTTAAAATCTTTCATTGAATTAAATAAGATTGGTTTTACCAAGATTACTAAAAAATTCGATAAAACATGCAATTACGCAATTAAAATAGATTTTATTGAAAACTTCTTGCCTACTACTACAAGAACATTCACACCAGAGACATTAAAGAGCGTCGATCATAAAATTAATCAAATCATCATAATTTATTCCCT